GCCACCGGGCGGCTGATCAGGTCCTTTTTTCATACATATGTATATATCATGTAAATGGAAAATGAAAAACGGTCGAAACCGCTGTCCAGTGCTTCCTAGCTTTTCAGTTCACGTTTCATTTTGTACATACACGACGAATTCCCATTTGAAATTAATAGTCTTTTAGTAACTATGCCATTCAATTTAGTTTTCAATCTCTTCAACCGTTAACCATGCACTTTTGTACGCCGGTTTTGGTTGCTCTCTTTTGGCTGCCCGTTCGGATGAAATAGTAGGAGAAAGATAGGAAAGCTGATAATAGAGTTAAACAAAAAATGCAGAATTAAAGTAGACTGAGGTTGCAAACAGATTGTGTAGATGCCCGACTGCCATTGTTTACTCTACTCAGTCATATCACAGTCTGTCAAACTATTAATTACAATGATCCCGTGGTCATATACTCCGATTAAATACACCACTGATTGTGGTAAAAGGTTGTAGTTTCCTCAATTAGCACTTTTCGGTTGTCCAACTAATGCAACGTTTTGGAAACTTACACATTAGCTCCAACAAATCGCTGCGCTCAGCATTTTCAGCGCGCGTCCATCCATAATCCACAATTTTTTCGATTTCAGACATGCCTGATTTCACTTCGAGTGGTCGATGTCTGTAGTCCTGCTGTTTGTACACACAAGATGTCTGATTCTCCTTGATACTGCAATGCTCTTTCAAGGAGAACACTCGAAGTTCCAGAAAATCTGAATCCCACTGAAGCATGATTCCCAGGGCCAATGAAAGTAGGCTGAGGAAAAATATACTGTTCTCCAGATACACTTGTTGTAGTGCGGATGTGGACGTACTAGATCTTTTCGAGCTCAGAATATGCTCCGAAATTCGATAAGTCAACTTCTCGTAAATTCTTCGACAGGATTTGAAAGACATTTGACCAAATGTTGCCGGTTTTCGTGATACACTCTGTTTATTTCTCGACATCGCATACATGGTCTGCTTTGTGCGCGAATACAAGCGGAGGAAGCTCAATCGGGGTATGGATTGATTTTTTGTTTGCTGGCTGACCCGTTCGAATTTCTCGCCACAAATGTTCGGTCATATGATTCCCGGGTTCGTGAATGAATGATGCGCACGTGCGTACACGTGTGTGTGTGTGTCTAGACTTTACCTGCACGACCTAAGCGATGAACTTGTATTTTCGTTTGGTGGGGCGGGGAACGGACAGTGACATTGATTGAAAACGTTGACAAAATGCGAAATTCTCCGAGAATGATTCAAATTTTCGTTTGATAAGTTCGCGATTGTTATTCATTTGTTCGCAGCAACACTCCTCGTCGCTTGCAGACTACCGAGTTATTAGTTGAACATGTGATTTTGTGTGCCAATGTAAAATCTTATGGGAACAGAATTTAGGGATTTGGCAGGGTGTGCAAACGCAATGAGCTATACCTAAGTATCTTGGGAAACCCGCACCTTTTTCAACAGAAGTCATACTTTCAACCCTCATATCATTCATAATGATGCCTCTATCAGAAAGACCGGAGAAACTGTTCCCCACGATTAGGAGATTTCACAATAAATAGCCATATTTATTATTGCTCAAGGCCCCGTCACTTTACGCTTGGTGGAAAAAAACGCATTAACTCGATTGCTTCGGTACGCATGTGTATGGGAACGTGGGGTTTTTCAGAGCCCGTTATATCCGTTTCGATGGAGCTTTTATTCCGTTAAAGCTAGGTTATAATGACAAGTAAGAATGAAATCTTTGAGTACAACAACACCGTGGCAAACAAACTCGTTTTCCCAGTTATTCGTTACCCTGTCATTGCATAACTGTGGTGATCCTAGCCTACGAGATGACGCACACCGCGGAGCGACATGTTACAGTTTTCGGACAACTGTAATAAATCAAGCTTCCCAGATGGGATCAGCATTACGCGTACGTGTCCAGCTTCTGGACGAAAGACCATGGGTCGATTGTACCAACCAATCAGAAACCGCGCGGCTGAGACAAGCTGAACAACGCCAGAAATACTAGCATGCGATTGGCACAGGCTTGGATGACCAATGAACTTTTGTACATATTATTTAATCCCCTGATTTCTTTCAATAAATGAACTGCTATTCCTGTGGCCTTTACCACGCGTCTCTGTTCCGTGGGATACTGTCGTGCAAGTACCAGTGTGATCCAGCGCTTACGTGGTAGACATGATTTCTAATCCACAATTCGTATCTCGTAATCAGTGCGTGCTAGAATTACTACAATTACTACCATAACATTGAATATGGTTAACAATAAGAACAATAGGGAATGAGAATTACGAGTCTAACTCCAAACGTGTGTTTTGGAGAAGTTGATCCCAGTGTCAGTGTTCCAGTGATGGAACACGCGTTGGGTTGTTGCTGATGTTGTGTTCAATGTGTTCTGTGGGACTCTTCACTCAATGAAAACAATGAAATTTTTGTCTGCGAATGTTGGTTGGCAGAAAAATTGTTTTTTATCACTTAATACCGTAAAGGGAGTGCATTTTTTGTTTATATTGCACTGTTTAGGATGAGTGCCCAAAATAAATTTTTTTTTAAATATCACCAAATGAATCTGCAAACCTGGATTATTTTCTCTACCCCATCAACAGTATATAATTCTATTGTATTGTACCGTATCGTTTTCAAGCTTTAGCGAGTTACATACAAGCTTTTAGCTCAAAAATGTCATATTGTACAAGCAGGTTGTGTTTAAAGGAAAACAATCGGTAACTACCTCAAGCGACTCTCTAAACTAGGCAATATTATCTGGGGAAAGATCTCGCTGACGGAACATGATGTGTTTGGATCGAGTAAAAAAAAAATTTCCTGAATGTGTTAAAATCTTAGGTCTGACCAGGACCATGTTGTGATCACTGGTGCTTAAGGGGAAGAACCTTTTTGGTAGAAAAGGTATCAGCGTGGTTTGTGATTATGTGGTCTAGATACGAGTTTCCTCTAGTTGGTTCAATAATCAGGTCACTGAGATTTAGAAACATTAAACAGTGCAGGGGGCGTGGTTAAAGTCACCAGCTATCAGGTGCAAACTGTCAGCAAGAGATGGGGCAATAACCGTACAGTACAACATATGTATTGAATGCGATAAGCGAATTTCACGAGGGCTTTGGAATGCTTTATATGTAATCTAATCTCGAAAAATCAGCGGCCTCGACGAGATTCGAAACATCGGACGGATGTTTCCTGCAGCTCTGTACAACGCATACCCTATCAGGTGAACCACACCGACAGTACCGGTCTTCTCACTTTTAGAACGTACAGAGAAATATGAAGTACACCGATCAGCTTTTAAGCAACAGCAGTGCAAAACCATATGCAGCATTCATGCGTGGGTTCGGATCCCACTACGACCACTGATCTTCTCACAGTTCTTAATATTGACATTTTTCATATAAGTCTTCTCCTTAGAGCCACGGTAATTGCTTTGGTACTATAAATTCACTGAACGTACATGTTTACGGTTATCTGTTGGGATGGGTCGCACAGAACCCACCAAACCGCCCACGGTTCCGTGTCACACTACAAGCATGCTCATGACATCTAAGGTGAAGCAAATTCCGGATTGGATGATTATATTTGTATATCGAATCATTTTCACAGACTACACTCTGACCTTTGATCTCCAGGGGTGTTCTCTTTCCCGTGTAATCCAAGGGGNGGGGGGGGTGGGTGGGCAAGAAACGCTCGTATCGATCGTGTGTCTAAGCAGAACATAACATTATATTCAAGAGACCCTCAGCAGCTACAGCTCGGCTGGTTGTAAACTTGTAACAAGATACGGCATCCGTATTGAAACCTACTATAGTGACTGGACTAGAGACGAGTTTCGAATGTCAACCCCAAACGAAACACAAAATGATACTGGTAGTCACCGAAATGCAGGAAGTAGACCACAGAAGTAGCGGTTCGGTTTATCGGAAAAAATCAATGGGATTAGGCAAAATGTACAAAAAAAACGTCACTGGTCATATAGATCTTCACTAATCGCCTGTCCGTGTTTTCTTCCTCATTCAGCTTCTGCTTGAACCGCACACCTTGTGATTGCTCGATGCTATTGATCTAAGGTTCCTTGTTGAGGTACGGGCGTTATCTGAGGCTTAGATGATCGAAAGAGGGCTTTAACGACTTCTGAGGACTTGCTGAAAACAATTGACGTATTCACAAATTTTAACTTATCCTCATGAATGATGTTTAAATTCAATTTGATTTTGATGTTCACTTCGCAGTTTTTACGAGAATGTATTCAGCATGATTAAAAATTGTTTTTACGGGTCTATTGGAAAACATTTTCCCGTGAACAACGGGTTGCAAAGACAGATGTCCAATTACATCAGTTGCAGACCTGATTTCTTCATGTCAACCTCGAGGGTTCTTATCCACGGAGCGTGCGGTCACTGAGTCCATCTCCAAAGTGTGCTCCTTGGTTCCGGATAGGGAGACTGGGTGTCTTGACCAATCGAGTCACTCCAACCATCGTTGTTGGAGTTCCGGTACAAAATATTTGATCAAAATCATCCAATTTACAAACAAATACAAAAGAGAACGGAAATGTAGGACGCGTGGAGTCTGCAGTCGAATGAAATATTTACCGCATATCACGTGATTGATCGTTGCGGCCTGCCATCACATGCACTCACGTCATGCAGACTTACCCTATTACAAGGTCGATCAGCCTCAGCGAATCAGAGGTCAATATTGACCTGTCCATATTGATTGGTTTGTTGACTGCCCAGGGTGACGTCATTCTCTTTTGGGAATGCTTGCGCCAATTTGTGTGCTAACGCACTGCTTTCTCGCCAGCCTACGAACCGGTTACGTTTACATTTACTTACTGGAAATAGAATATGTTCGGACGACCACATATCGACCCGCGTTCGTGATGCCCAAGCCGAATCGCTTCCGGATTGGATGACTAAGGTGAATCAGAGAGCTGTCGTCCGATCGACCAATCGGAGTATCAAGGTTGCAACCTGATTGGTGCGTCATCACGTCGTTTCTCGTACGCCTAATTTACCACCTTTATTTGCGCATTGCCTCATGATCAATAATATACGCTGACTGTCATTTTACCAGCCGTGTTCTCTCTCTCCAATTTGTGGGGCTTAGTCAAGAGGCCATTATAAGTCTTGGCAAAACATAGCAGAATATCCACGCAATTCACTGCTTGCATACTTCTTTCCTTCTACGAGATTCAACAGGACGAACCAGACGTCGATTTGGAACACATGCGAAATTGTACACCGACAAGCTTGGATGTGTCCACAATGAGGTAGGGAGATGCCACGAAATTGTTTTGGCACCAGACATGCATGGCAAGTTCAACCTTTACCTGGATCAGAACGGTTTGAGATAGTTGTCATGTTATGAGGTGATCCGCCTTCGAGTAACGGGTTTCCGACGCGAATTCACAATCATATTTTATGAGTAGAGGTTGAACAGCATCCCGACGGCGTTGGTACAGTAATCCATGTGGTTGAAACATTGAACTGAAGTGGCTACTTCACCTCAGCTGGGGATAAAATCGTTGTAGACAAACTGCTTAACTCGGCGGTGATGGCCCGGTGGTAACGTTATCAAATTATCACCCTGGGGATGTAGTCAAATCCCTCTACCACTGCCTGACGTCCCCCATTCTGTGTGTTGATTGGTAGCCCTTCGATTGGCCGCTTCCCCTTTCCTGAAAATTCCATCTTCGTATATTCAATAAAAGGAAGTAAAAATGAAAAGAAAGACCAGTGAAATGGAATTCAGTTCAACCGAGCTAACAGAGCTGAATTTCAATAGTTGGTTAAAACTTGTTGTCACATGGTCCGATCTTCCTCGGAAACAACTATAGTCTATATCCTGCTATGTCGAGCCAACCGGGGATTGGAAATCCAGGAACTAAGATCAATCATGTTCACCATTAGTGAGTGCATGTATGCTTTGAAATAACGCGAAAAATTGCC